ACAGCAAAGAGGGGGGGAAAGGCAAATACAGCACATTTTAGTATTAAACTTAAACTCCTAAAAAATAAAATAAATGGAAAGCAGCATTTTTCTTCTGCATAACAAAGTTCCAAAGTTGTATTAAGTCAATGTTCAATTATAAACTTTCGAAAGATCAATCATAAAGTTTTGTTCAGAGTAACCAACATTTCGAGTTATGAACAGCCTCCATTTCAGAGTTGTTCATAACTCTGAGAGTCTACTCTGTAGCCTGGACAGGGCACTGATCTGGGACTCAGGAGACTGCAGGTTGAATTCCTGGCTGAACCATTTCCCTGTTGGGTAACATTGCACAAGTCACATCACTGCCTTCTGTCTCAGTTTCCCGCTCTGTAAAATAAGCATAAAAATCACAGGCTGCCTTTGTAAAGCAGTTTGAAATCTCGAGATGAAAACATTATATAAGAGCTAAGCATCACCATCAGCACCATCGAGACGGGAATATAAAAATTAGAACAGAACAGAGGAAATACAACTAGAATAAAGTAGAAAACAATAATCCTTTTTTTAATACTGCTAAAGACTTGACACCAATTACTTCTTGTAGCAATGAATTCCACAGGCTAACTGATGGCCATGTTCAGGCATTTCCATGAGCTAAAATAAGTAGGTTTGGCAGAATTAGATTTTTATATATAAAATAAATTAAATTTGACAATGAAAAAATGCTTAAAATGAACAGTGATATCATGACTCAGTTTTGACTCAGTTTATTTTTGACTATTTTGACTCAGTTTATTTTTAAGCATTTATTTTCATTCTGTCAGATTTAATTTTGACAGTTGTGAAAAATTATGGATTTAAAACTTTTTTAGTGATTTAAATTTTCACAGTTGCAGGAGATTCTGGCAGAGTCAGACAAGTGGGGTATCAAGCAATAAAAAACGAGAACAGAGGAGGAGATTCAAAAAATATTTTTTTATAACCATTAAAACATAAAAATTGTGATCACATGCCAAAATATTCAATATAAATATCCTTAAATCAAACTCTAATAATTTCTCAAGAACATACTATCTATCCCTTTCTTAACGATTCCCAACATTCTGTTCGGTTTTTTGACTGCACATTGAGTGGATGGTTTCAGAGAACTATCCACAATAACGCCAAGATCTCTTTCTTGAGTGGTAACAGCTAATATATGTATAAAATACATGTATGTATGGGTTCAGATTAATATTAAAATCAGATTTTTATTACTTTTGCACTGTCCTAAGCTATACAGACCACCTCTCCTTTCTTCTGGGATCTCTGTGCTGGGTCCGTACCCATGTCATCTCAGCACCGCACAAACATTACTGCATTTGTCCCACAGACACCACTGTCTGTGGTGCTGGGAACTGTCTTACTATCCCCATTTTATTATAAACGGGGAAAGGGGAAACGGAGGTACTGAGTGAGGTTTCTAGAAGGTATGTCTGGCGAGTTCACAAAGGAACTTGGGTGTGGTAAAGAAGAACATGCTTCTAGGTGCCTACAAAATCATTAGGATTTACAACACCTGAGTTGGGTGCCCAGGCTCCCTATACAATGAGCTGGGAGAGACAGACACCTCCGAATGGGATCTACTAAAGCCAGTAGGTTAGGCGGCTCCTCCAGCCAAGGGCAGATGCCAGGATGAGTGGCCTGTGATAGGCACCTAGATCTGGGCTGTGGGGCTCGGCCTCTCTCTGAGATTGTCACTGGCAAACCCTCTCTTGCCATTGAGCTGGGGGGTGGGGGATGGGAGGAAGGTGGAGATCCTTTGTAACTTTTGACCCCATATCTAGGGTACTCACTGGGCTATGGGATAGTCTGATGGGGCGGGAGGCGGCGCAGGGGACCCCAGTGTTTTCTATTAAAGCTGTTCCACTGTAGATAAATAATTTGAAAAAGTCTATTGGAGCAGTTTTCTTTCAGTGTTTATTCACAGGGGAACAGCTCTTTCAGGCCAAGTTGAGGGAACCTCCGCACTCTCACAATATCCCATAGCCCAGCAGTTGGGATACTCATCTACAAGGTGGCAGATCCCTGTCTACCACCCCGCCCACTCCCCCTAGACTGGACGTGGTGGTAGACTTGAACCACTGGTCTCCTGCATCCTAGGCGAGTACCCTAAAGACTGGGCTAAATGTAAAGAGGGAGGGGCTCCTCCTCTCTCCCAGCTTGTGTGTAAACTGCCTATGGGGGGCGATCCGATAGGCGAGGTCTGGGCACACTTGCTGGGATGCTCTTAGCAGGTGAGTTAGGTGCAGGGTCACCCCATCTTCCTCCAGCTTGGGAATCACTCGGGTTTAGGCCTCCATTTTTCTGTCATGGCAGTATGAATCCTCGGAGGCAAACACACACACAAAAACAAAACTTTTAATGGAAAAAAATTAGACATTAAGTGATTTTAGGCCACTACAGGGCTTGGGGGCAACTGACGGGGTTTTCTGAATCCCAGAAAGGCCTGATTCTGGGATTTAGGCACCTAGCTGCCACTTCGGGTGCCTGAATCCCTTTGTGAATCTATCCCTTTTGTGTCTTAAGATGGAGATAGGCGCCTAGAGGGGTTCAATAAGAGTTAAGCATCTAGGAGATTTTAAAATACCAGTAAGCCTCTATATTGCCTCATTAGGCACCTTAATACCTATAATAATCAGAGTCTAAATCACTTGCCCAAAAAGTCACCCAGGAAAATTTTTCAGAGTAGCAGCCGGTTAGTTTGTATCAGCAAAAAGAAGGAGGAGTACGTGTGGCACCTTAGAGACTGACAAATGTAGTCTCTAAGGTGCCACAAGTACTCCTCGTTCTTTTTTCCAGGAAATTTGTGGCAGACCATGGAATCAAAGCCGGGTTACCTAGTATCTTTTAAGGGTAATTTTCAAAAACTCTTAAACCTCCCGTAATTCAGACATAAAACAATAGCCTCACTTTCAAAAATCCTCTGGAGAGAGACCCCCAGATAAAATATCCTATGAGAGACAGCAGATTTTCGCAAATGCCCAAATAAATCATTTAGTCTTTTAATTGTCACCGGACTCCTTGATGTTCTTGTTTTATTTGAGGAGTAGCCGTGTTAGTCTGGATCTGTGAAAAGCGAGAAAGAGTCCTGTGGCACCTTATAGACTAACAGACGTTTTGGAGCATAAGCTTTCATGGGTGAATACCCACTTCGTCAGATGTACTGACCAAGAGACCCACGAAAGTTTATGCTCCAAAATGTCTGTTAGTCTATAAGGTGCCACAGGACTCTTTGTCGCTTGTTGTATTTGACATTCACTAGAGGGCGCTACACACATTCTTATCCATATTTTAATTTACATTACGAGGTGTGTGTGTGTGTGTGTGTGTGTGAGAGAGAGAGAGAGAGAGAGAGAGAAAGTAACTTGGAATCAGAAGCTGAACAAGTTTTCCTCGTTGTGTAGCGTCACAAGCTGAGAGGGAGGAGACAAAGGTCACGGAGGAAGCAGGTTTCATCTTTAGGACATTAATGATCATTTTCAAAAACACGGGGGGGGGAGGGGAAGGAGGAGATATTCTGTAGCTAGCTGCAGGTCTAGTAACAACACAAGGATAACCCGAACCTGCAAAATGCTCTTGTACGTCGCTGTACAGCTCTGGCTTCTGCTTCCGCAGTCAGGTGAGACTAAAAACTTTCATTTGAAATAAAAGCTTTTACAAAGACAAAAATAAAGGTCTCTGAACAAAGAAATGGTAGGAGGAATTTTGTTTTCCTTTGCAAAGAGACAGCCAGGTTACCATCACAACCTAAGTCATCAGTGTGCTGGGAATAGAGAGATGTTTTTAAGGTGTGACTCAGACCTACACATACACAGGCTGAACTTTTCACAGGAGCACAAAGGAGTGAGGGATCCAAGTGCCACTGAGTTTAAAAGTTCCAGCCAGACATAGATCGGTGTTTAAAGCTTTTCTACCCCCCACAGGTCTTGCACAAAGTGACTCCGTGGACCAGTCTCCTCCAGAAGTGAGAGTCTCAGAGGGACAAAGTGTAACTTTACACTGTAACTTCACCACCGCTGACTCAAGCCCGTATCTGTTTTGGTACCGGCAGTTTCCGAACCGGCCTCCCCAGCATATACTGACTAAAACGAAGTTTGATGCTCCGGATCAGACGCTTGTCCAGGGAAAATTCTCAGCATCTTTGTACATGGCTAATAAGACGGTTCCCTTCAAGATTGAGGCTGTTTCTCACCAGGAGAGCGCTGTGTATTACTGTGCGCTGAGACCCACAGTGCGGGAGAACTGCATCTCCGCTCGTACAAAAAGTCAGCGGGGGGCTGTTTACGGAAATATGACGGAATCGTATAAACACAGGGCTGGAGGGGACCTCGAGAGATGGATCTAGTCCAGCCCCCTGTGATGAGGCAGGACCAAATGTACTTGGATCATCCTTGACAGGTGTTTGTCTAATCTGTTCTTTAAAAGAAACTGTCCCCCCCTCATATTCTATTAATCTTCTCTAAAAGAAAATTTAGTTCCTGCACTTGGCCCTACTGTATATTCCTCTGTTTTTTAATTATTAATGAAGTTTCTTTGGATTAAAATACATTTCTTATTGAAAAGACTGTAAGTCATAAATAGAAAATGTTAGCACAAGGGTTACTAATTCACTTTAACTTTTCATAATATTTTGTCACTACTATAATTTCAGATCAATGAAAGCTATATTCAGGAGCCCTCCCCCAGAGTTATGACATATATCAGGCAACAAGTTTAACAAAACAAGTCTGGCACTTCTAGGGAAGAAAAGAACTCTATCTTTAAACGTGTAACCAATAGGCTAAAACAGGGGTCGGCAACGTTTGACACGCAGCTTGTCTGCAGGTTCGGCGGACCGCAGCTCCCACTGGCCGCGGTTCGTTGCTCCAGGCCAATGGGAGCTGCGGGAAGCGGCGGCCAGCGCATCCCTCGGGTTACACCGCTTCCCGCAGCCCCCATTGGCTTGCAGCGGCTAATCGCGGCCAGTGGGAGCGGCGATGACCGAATCTGCCCACGCGGAAGGTAAACAAGCCGGCCCGCCAGGGTGATTACCCTGACAAGCGGTGTGTCAAAGGTTGCCGATCCCTGTGCTAAAACGTGTTTACATCACCAACAAGACGCGTGGCCGTGCATTCACTCCCCCTCCCGCCATGAAATCCAATACAGCTGAGCCCAGTTTAATCCAAGCCAACTCTACTCAAATCAAGCCAACCTGGCTAAACCCTACATCCCGCTGAACCATCCCAACACAATCCAATCAAGCCAAACCCAAAGCAGTGCAACCTAACTCAATTCAATGAAATTCAATCCCAAATCGAACTCGGGTGATTACAGCCCAAACCAACCGAATCCAAACCCATGGAAACTTAGTTCAACTCAATCCATTCCAACCCCCCCTCCCCGAAAAAAACAAACAAACTCAAAGAAACCCAACCCAGTCGAATTCAACGCAACGCAATCCAAACAAAAGCACAGACAAAAGCCCCAACCAAATGAAAATGGAACATTTTCTCAGCAAGACTGAAGCTCTTTGAAATATTTTAACGAACAGCAAAATGTTGCACTATCATTTCCCACTGCCACCCACCTCTCTGCCTAATCTCAGTTGAAAACAGATCCTACTCTTTGTAACAGCCCTAAAAGTTTACAGCTCAAGGGTAGGTGCCCGGTTCTCAGTAAAGAACTCTCAGAACGGGAATTCCTTTCCCAGTCTGATCCCGCAAAGCTCAATACTCGGATATTTAGGGAATCCTTCGAAGTGCGTGTGCATTAACCCCGACTTTCCCTGCATGAGCTCCGTGCGCGCCTCGGGTATAACTTATCCTCCAGGGGGTCTTTTGCGAAGTATTCAACTTGAATATTTAAATGTGACATTTGTAGATATTAAATATACATAATGATATATTTCTAAAATAATTTCGCTTCAGTGTTTTTGAAATATCCGATATTTCAGAAACACTGAAGCCAATTTCTTTTAGAAAAAAAAAAATCCGAGGGACTCCATACTCATTGTGCACAGGCGAACAAGAATCCTTGAGAAACTGGTTGTAGGGAAGTGGGGGCCTAGATTTCTCCGACATATAATTTACTCTATGTAGCACAAATCACTTATGTGTTTCCTACTTAATGTAAACACCTGCAAAGAGAGTCGCACTTATCAGCAAATCATGACACTTTAAAGAAGGTCTGAGAAAGCCGTTCACAAACGGAACCAACCTCTCCTCGTTTCCTGTGGGTTAGGGAGGGATCTCACTTCCACATACGCCCTTAGTAGGCCAGTGGCTGAAGAAATGCGGCGAGATTAACACATTCAGGCAGGACGCTGTCTATTCAGGGCTGAAGGGTTCAGCGTAGAATTGAAACCTAAGCCGCTCTGCTTAACACAATGAGCAAACGTTTAATGTTCGGCCTTTTAATTTTCACTCTATATCCAGGTAGCTAGTCGTACAGTTAAGCTGATTACTCCCGAATCTCTCTTTCTTTCTCTTTTTACACACACACACACCTCCGCCTTGGCAGTGTGTGTGTGTGTGTGTGTGTGTGTCTCTCTCTGTCCCCATACTCCTCTCTCTCATTCTAGCTAAGGTATAGAAGTGAGCACTCAGACTGCTGTATTTTCTCTCTCCATTTTTTGTTGCAGGTGCGGTGCTGGGTGACTCGGTCCAGCCCAGGGAACCCCAGATGTCTGGAGTTGAAGGCGGCTCCGTGACCCTCAGCTGTTCTTATGAGTCTAGTTACACTGCTGGTGTCTATCTCTACTGGTACCTTCAGTCCCCGAACCGAGCCCCGCAGTACATCCTCCGGAGAGGAACGAAGGGAGCCAGATCTGGCAGTGATACCGCAGACTTCGCCCAGGAGAGGTTTTCTTCCCAGGCTGATGGCAACTCCACAGCTCTGAGCATCGCCGCCCTGGAGCTGGCAGACACAGCGGTGTATTACTGCGCCCTGCAGCGGGCACAGTGACAGAGCCTCACAGCAGAGCTGCACAAAAACCCTCCCTTCCCTTCACCTTCAGGGGCTCGGCATGGAAGAGGGACCAGAGAGAGCGTCCCCATGACCCAGCATTCGCCCCCAGGGAGGGATGCAGCGCTGGGCCCACAGCGCTGACAGACAGGTGCTGTCCTCCCTGTCAACATCTCGCTGATACATTATATATATATACATAAATACATGTCAATGCATCGATGCCTTTCTGCCTTCCTCGCGGCTCTTAAATCCCAGCCCAAATGTTTAATCGCAGCGGCGTCTGTCTCTGTCAGTAGCTGTGCAGCACCCAGAAGAACGGGTCACTGATGTCAGCTAAGGATAGACTTACCCACAGGGCCTTGCGTCCTCCTCTTCATCCCCCTCACTAATCGCAGAACTTGGGCGTTTTACATAATTACTTAATGACAAAAGACTCGGAGATCCAAAAAGTCAAAACTATGTGACCATTAAGACATGATGTGGACATTTCATATGTCAAAGTAAACAAACTTAAATCAAACTCCAATAAGTTTCCAGTATTGTTCTTAACTGAGTTTTACAGCTAGGCAAAGGATTATCAGTGGAAATATTTTGTGTGTGTGTGTGTTGAAATCTCCATTTATTGACTTTTACTGCTAGAAATCTAATCCTGCCAAGCCTATATATAGGACATAAAGAGGATGCTCATCTCGTGGATTCATTTTGCAAAGCTTTATGACCGGCTGCTAGCCTGATGTCAACTCTCCGGCTTTTTCAGTCAGGCTTGGGACTGGCAGAGTTACAACCACTAAAACAAGCCACTAAGCAGGTGTTAAATGGAGAAGTCTAGGAAGATTTTTTTTTCTTAAGGAGGAACGAAACATTTTCCCCAAAACTCCTGTAACTAAGGAATGGATTATAGGAATAGTCTTTTAAATAATCTCTTCTGGAGATAAGTAACACAGAGATACACAGATTTTTAAGTTTGATCCCTTGGATAACAAGTGCTAGAGAATGTCTCCCAAGGACTCCCGCTCCAGACCCATAACTTATGATGGACCTAGAGAATCGGGAGAAATTCCGCGTGAAAATAATCCTTTCCCCCCACTCCAGAGAAATATCTGAATGGTTTCTGGAGGATACGTCCATCCATGGGTACTAGACAAGATGTTCAAGGATGCAACCCCATGCTCTTGGTGCCCCTAAATCTCTGACTGTCAGATTCTAGGACTGGACGACAGGGGACGGATCACTTGATGATTGCCCTGTTCTGGTCATTCCCTGTGAAGAACCTGGCATTGGCCACAGGATACTGGGCTTCATGGGCCATTGGCCACACCAGATCATTCTTATGTTTTCTTGTTCGTTTTTCAAATTTGCTTGCATAATTTATTATGTCCACTAGGGGGCGATCCTGACTTTCTGGTAATTATATTTGACAGTGTATTTTATTTATTTAAGGTTTAATTGAATCAGGCAACTCCCTGGACAACATTTCTTTCGCAACGGTAAAGTCATAGAGAGGGTGAAGTCACAGAGAGGGCACTTTTACAGCAGACACATTCTTTTAATGCACAAATCAGGAGAAAAAACCCCTAATAACCCCATAAAGAGCCTAGTAAAAAGCAGGAGACTTTGAAGCTGCAAAATGGCTTTCTTCCTTGCTCTACGGACCTGCCTTCTACTTGTGAAGTCAGGTGAGATAAATGTTCATTTTTAGTGAATTTATTGCGTTTCTTAAGAGCTACAGCAGTCCTGCTATAACAGGCTCGGTTTTTCAAAGAAGCCTAGGGAATTAGGAACCCAGTTTCCTAACCACTTTTTGAAAATCCCACGTAATTATTTAAAAAGAAACGAGGTTACCTGAACCAGAAAACAGTATGTTTTTATGGAAACAACATTCCTTTCCTGATACTTTAAAATGGAAACCAATCTCTACATAAGATCATCAGAAGCTACAAACAAACCTTTTTTGAAAGGTGCAGCGGGCGGAAGAGCCACCAAACAGAGACGATTTCCGATAGAAATCATTAGCAAAAACCCCTCCCCTCTCCTAGTTTCCTCTTAGTTTTTCAGGGAGGCACGTGGGTCGGTTTATAACATTCAGCCAACAATCCCCTTGCGTCGCTATTGTGTTTTCACCGCCTCTTTGTGACTCAAAGCAGAGTCTGCTAAACAAAGGCCATGCGTTTTGTTCTAAGCCTTTTTATACTCACTCTGTATCCAGGTAATGGAGCTGTTCGCTTTGCTCATGCAGCCTGGCTCCCTGCTAATTAAACCCCCTCTCTCTCTCCTCCCAAAACCAGGACCAATCTACCAGCTTTCTCCATTCCTTTACAGCACTTTCTCCATTTCAATCTATCTGCTGTTTTATATATATCCCTCACTGTCTGCCTACTTGTAGTCCCCTTTTACCCTTCCACGCTCCCTCTCTCGGTTGGGCACTCCGCTTGTCTGTAACTGGTACATTGCATTCATTTATTTCTTGTCGCAGGTTCTGCGCTGGGTGATTCGGTCCAGTCCAAGGAACCCCACGTGTCTGGAGTGGAAGGAGGTTCAGTAACGTTCAGCTGTTACTACAATACCACCGATTTTTCGGGCGTCTATCTCTACTGGTACCGACAGTCTCCTAACCGGGCCCCGCAATACATTCTGCGGAGAGGGACGAAGGTCTACGCTACTTATAGAGAAAATGCAGATTTCGCGCAGGAGAGGTTTTCTTCCCAGGCAGATGACAGCTCCACAGTTCTGACAATCACAGCCCTGGAACTGGCAGACACCGCGGTGTATCTTTGTGCCTTGCAGCGGGCACAGTGACAGAGCCACGG